TCAGAAGGAAGAAAATCGCTAGAGAATGTGGATGCTGGTGGGGTCCGGCACGCCCATCAACGTGGGTGGTCCAATTTTTATAGGCCCAAACTAGACTCAGTAGTACCTAGAAATATCCAGAACCTGTACTACGAGGAGCGATAGATGGGCAGAGCCAAATGTCATATAAAAGCCATGACTTCATTCAACTCCTGAGGGTTTTCAGGTTTTATGACTATGTGCCTCTTGAATTTGTGCTTGTCTACCTTTTATTTTATTTTACCTTTTTTAATAGCTTTTCTGCCCTTCTAAATGATATATGTTGTATATTTGTTTAGGCAAAAGAGATTGAAAGAATGTTAGCAACTGTATGTTTTGAAAAACACGCTTTTGACACCAAATTTGGCAGCCTCCTTTTGGGCTCATTGAATTCAGACCACCCATGTTGATGGGCGTGGCGACCCCAGCAACGGCCACCTTCTGAAACAATCTTCTCACATTGAAAAGCACTTATTAGAGCAAAAGCTGGGCAATTACCTATTTAAGCATTGCTATTGTACTGCATCAAAATCTCACCAATCTCAGATTTGAACAGTCCGTTGACGGAGAAGATGAACGACTGAGAGAAGCCGACTCCGTGGACTACTGGTCCTTACGCTGTATGCAACAGCATGTGCAAAAGGACTAGTGGACCGCGCGAGGGCGGCGCCCTTCTACCGTACTCCCTCTTTTTCCCCATTTGTGTGCTTACCTGGAACTTCTGTTTCCATGTACAACTGCGGCTCTACCGGGAGCTACAAGAAGCGCTCGATCTCTTGGCATCCATGAATTTCCACACATCAAATCATGTCGACACCTTCAAGATCTTTCTCCCGGACGAGCTCCTACCTAATTACAAAAAAAGCTTACCTAGCAGCTCTGGACTGAGCCGGTTGAAACACTCTGTACCAGGTGTCTTCTGACGGTGGTAGTGGTCCAGCTCGACGCCGTCTAAAAAATTTACATTCGATGGTGCCCACAAAAAGTATTGAAGAGCACACCTTGCCGTAACGCAAAGCAGACCTATCGTGATCATACAGAATGACAATCCGCTCAGAGTGAGTCGAGAATTTACTGCACCCCGTCGTTTCGAGGGTATTTCGCATTCTCGACCGGATGTAGGATCGCATGTGGCGCAAGACATACCCATATAGCCTGAAATGCAAGATCTGATTTCTGGTGTCCAAAATTTAAAAAAAAAAATATTACTTTCTTAGAGAGTATCAACCCTAAATATTAAATTAGTGAATGATGATACCCTACCCTTATTATTAACGTTCTAATAAGAAAAACTTCTCTAAAAGAGTTTTCAAAAATAAATAGTAGCTTTATAAAGATTTCTATACTAAGTATATACGAGGAAGAATTTTTGAAGGTTTCTGATT